TCCTCCCTCGACACTACCGTGGACTCAGGGACTGGCTCTGAGGCACCAGTCACAAAACTCAGGCTCGTGTCTACCTTGCCATGCAGAGCGTGTGCCCCAGCTTCAGGCTGCCCGGAAAGTCCTGGGTGACCAGCCCCTCCTGCTGGGCCTTTCAAGTGGTGCCTGGCTGGGCTGTCCATGGTGCTGAACCCCCAGCAGCAAGGCTCACAGCGGGCTCCGCGTGCCCGAGACATGTTTACGCAGATACACTGGGAGTGTGTGGGGCCAGTGTATCTGCTGGCCAGGCCCCAAAGCGAGCAGAGGCACACTCACTGCTGCCCTGTAGCCAAGCATCCGACATGCTGTGAGCCCTGCGCTCCACCCCTCCCCTGCAGCCATGTCGACTCCCCCCGGGGTCACAAAAGGAGTCCCCTGTGGTGGAGGCTGGTCTCTGGGCCCAGGCTCACAACTGCCTCTGAGCGTCGTACACTCCACCCCTGTGCCAGCCAGTCCTCTCCCAATGCACCCCATGATGAGCCCAAATCGAATGATACATGGCCACTGGGGCCCAGCAGTGTCCCCACATCCCCTCTCCCTGTAGGGTCTCAGTTGTCCCCATTCCTTACAAGGTCCTGGTCATCGTCCCACTCGCTGCAGGGTCCTGGTCATTGTCCCACATCCCCACTCCCTGCGGCATCCTGGTCGCTGTCCCCACCTCCTTTCCCTGCAGGGCCCGGGCCATTGTTCCCACATTCCCTTTCCCTGCTGGGTCCTGGTCAGTCCCCATGCCCCCAATCCCTGCGGGTGTCCTGGTCATTGTTCCCACATTCCCTCTACCTGCAAGGTCCTGGTTGTTGTCCCACTTCCCCTCCTCCTGCAGGGTTCTTTCTCCCCGCAAGTTCCCAGCCATTGTCCTGACCCCTCTCCCTGTGGGGTCCAGCCCCCACATCCCCTCTCCCTGCAGGGTCCTGGCCGTCATCCCCACCCTTTCCTGTTTGAAATCTGCTCGACCAAACAGTGCCAACACATGAGCTCCTCCTTCGGGTTCAGTTCTTGGGAGGTGCAAGGCTACTCCTCTCAAAATTGTATTCTTTTATCTTGCCCTGGGATTCAAGTCCACACTGTGGCTCAGGACCACAGTGCGCCTTGCTGGTGCAGAGAGCCAGAGTGCCTTCCTCAACGGTTTAGTCCTTGGGTCAAAACTGCCATACAGTGCACTTGGGGACGCAGGCCTTTGAGCCTCACAGGAGACCCTGACAGAGGAGGACCCAGCCTGGCAGCCTGCTCCAGAAAGGCTGGGAATGGGCCTGGGTGTGAGACACCACAGCCTCTGCCCGGGATCCCCCGCCCTGTCCTGTCCCACCTTCCAGGGTGTTCGCCACCCAGGGTGTGGGCAGCTCCTCCTGCTTATGACGACAGAGGCTCCAGGCTGCCCAGACCTGGGACACGCAGAGGCTTGGACACAGCTGAGCGGTTACAATCCCTCTGTGGACTTCAGACTGCCATAAACTCAACAGGCTCAGCCACTCAGACACCCCTGAGGCAGGAAGACAGGGCCACATCCAGCCCCCACCCCACACACAGGTGCATCCAGATAGTAACCCAGCAGAAGCCCATCAAAGGTGCTTGGGCCTGGGACACACCGTGCAGCCTGATGGGGACACGCAGGCAGCCTCAGCAGCCAATCCTGTGGTGGCGTCATTCTTCATGCCAAGATCACAACCCCTTGAGGCCCCCGGACCCTGTCTCGGTGCCATCCTTCTGGTGCTTTCCATGTGTTGAAGAACATCTATCCAGCTCCACTGTGTGCCTGGTGCTCCCTCCCAGGAGACAAGTCTGGAGGCCAGAGGTTGCACCGAGTGCTGGACTCCTCACCAGAGCCCTCCTCAAACATGGCTGTGTCTGCGCCCTCTGCTGTCCCTGCCCATGGAGCCCTTCCAAAAGACCAGAATCATGTGGCAAACCCCAAGATCAGCAGATCACGGAGGAAGGTGGCTTCCCACCCGAGCAAGGAGCTGGGAAGAGGAATCTGACTTTCTAAAGGAGGGTGTCAAGCCCTCGCCCCGAAGCCACTATGCTGCTGGCCCTGAGTGTTCACAGCAGGGCAGCCTGTCCCCACCTCAGCTGCAGACAGGCAGCCTGCTCATCCCCACACTGCCCCTTAGGCCTGGACTCACTGCTCCCTCCCTTCCCGCCTGGCAGCACCAGAAACCCCCTAGGACCCCAGGCAGACCTGGCTCTGCTGACCACCCACCCACCCCCCTGCACAGGCACCCATCATCACACGCTAGGAATCTAACAGGAGGCATCTTTAAAGCTAAAAAACCCAACGGTCAATGTTTTTCCTAACCACCCTTGTGTGACCAACAGAGACCCCACCTCTGCCCGGGCACAGGGTCCTCACTGGGGACAGGGCCTGCCCTGGTGACCTGTGTTTCCAGAGCTCCTGGGGTCCTTCCCGGCATCTCCACTCACACTGTGGAGGGCAGGTCGGATGGGAAGGTGGGTTGGTGGGCCAGGGGCAGAGCTGGCGAGACGGGGGAGGGGCTGCTCCTGGGGCACCTCCTGTCATCATCGGGCAAGTCTGGCCCTGGGGGAACACAGCCCCCAGGAGACAGATGTGGGAGGAGCCAGGTGCAGTTTAGGGGGCTGAGGTGACAGGTGGGCTGACACCCTGGCCTCAGGGTCAGTATGTAGATGAGAGGCTGGGTGAGACAGGGCTGCAGCCTTCAGCAGCCTGCTCCTGGGCGCTCTCATGAGTGGACTTTGGTCGTGGCTCAGGCAAGGGCAGGGTCAGTGGGAGAGAGCCCACACCCACGGCTGAGGCCCCATGTTCCCTGGTACTCCAGGCTGCAGCAACGCTGCTGGTGTAGGGTGCCAGGGCCTCCCGGGCCCCCCATTTTGGGGGTGAGAAAGGCCCTGACATGGTGGCATCTGGACAGGCCCAGGCCCACCGCCAAGCTCTCCCGCCTGCCACTTCCTGGCCATCAGGGGCCGAAGGGCAAATCCCGTCACTAGAGGGCCACGTGGGCAGGCCCTGCTCCCCCGAGGACACCTGCGAAGGGACCGGCCCCCACATGGGAAGGAGCCTAGGGACAAGCTTGCCTCAGGGGCTTGGGGAGAGTGGGCAGAGCCCCCAGTGGTCTGACAGGGCATGAGCAGCCCCCTCCCAAGACTCAGAGCCTGGCATGGTGGGCTTTTAGTGCCCCCGTGCTGGTTGTGGTCGAGCCGTCAGTCCAGAATGGTCTTGAAGTCGGGGGGCAGAGTCGGGTGTGCCACAGTCTTGAGAATGGCCAGCGTGGCCTTGGTGAGCTTCTGGCTCAGGCACATCTGGGCTGTGGGAGGACGGAAGAGAATGGCGAGAGCGCGCCTCAGCCACTGCCTGGGCAGCAGGAACCTCGGGAAGGGGCAGCCTGCCCTTCACGTTGGGGCAGTGGCCAGACACCCAAGGACACTGGAGCCGTGGGGACTCGAGGGGGCGCTTGGGGTGCTGAAGACCCTGTGCAGGCGTCTGGGGCGCAGCCTGGGCAGAGGCCACAAGGGGGTACAGGTCAGGGGTTGGAAGGCTCCCGAGAGCGGGAGACATTGGTTGGGGAAGTGCCGGGCAACCACCATGGCCGAGGCTGGGGCACTTGCAACCAAGGCCCTGGAGCTGCCCCATGGACTCTATCATGGGGGTGCCTGCGCAGCTGACGCTGCATACCCGGGTATGGGGGTTCAAGGATGGAGCCTGGCGCCATGGACCCTTGCCTGTACTTACCTGTCCTGAGCATCCCCAGGAGACACTTGTAGGTGACGCGGTGCTGGCCCAGCTTGAGCAGGAAGGCTTGGTGGCATAGCCACTGCACAGCCTTGGAGGAGAGTGGGCCAAAGGCACCCCTAGCCCCCAGCGACACCCCTGGGGAGAAATGAAGGCTGAGGACACTGCCCAGTCCGCGGGAACGTGGTGGCCACCTCAGAGGTGGCCCCACACAGCACTGCAGGACGTTGACAGTCGAGAGGTTTCCTTTCACTTCTCCACTGAGAATGTCACAAGGAAGACGTGACACACAGCAAAACCTGTTAAATCCACGACCGCAGATGTGCCTTGGCTACCTAGGCTGACTAGAAACGTCCCTGACGTGACAAGACACCCAAAGCTGGGGATGGTGGGGGTGAGTGGCTCTGTGGTGGTGGCACATAGCTGCCCACTTTTGAGACAGGCAGGACGGCTGGGCCGTCTCCTCCTGACCACGTGGCCCAGGTTGGCACAGTGACCACCTAAGTACCATGCAGAGAAGGGCACAGTTGCTGCCAAACAGGGAAACAGGGAGGTGTGTGTCATGTGCCTTCCTCCCGCAGTGCCTCTCTCCCGGGGTTCCTGGTAGACACTTGAAGAAGCAGAGGAGAGGACAGTTGGCCAGTGTGTCACTCCACAGGACCGCCTACCTGTCACTGTGAGGGTGGGACGAGCTGCCCGTGGTCAGCAGGCTAAGCCACACTGGGCACAGCCAAGGGTGACAGCAAGCCCCACTCACTGATGTCCTGACACCACACAAGGCGGTACCGCCCCTGCCACGGGTGTCCACAGAGAATACAGCGGAGTCACATCTGGGCTCATGGGGTGCAGACAGAGCCACCCTCCTAGGGCAGTCATGCTGGTCCCTGCATTCCACACTCTGCCAGCCCCATGGGCGACCCCACACCTCCGAGCAGCTTCTGGCACTATCCCGGCTCCCACGTACCTGCATTCTTGGCCTTCAGAATGGAGTAGCAGTGGGTGGCTGTGTCGGCGATGATCTGCAGGAAAAAGGCGGGGTTCTTCTGCACCTGCTGGTTGAATGGCAGCCGCAGCACGCACGCGTGGAGCCTGCAGGGGAACGGACTCACTGGAGGGAGGGTCTCCCTGTTCACGTGCGCTCATGTGTGTGCACATACACGCCTGTGCCTGGAGACGTGTGCATGTGTATATGAGTGAAGTACACGTGCCGTGTGCATGTTTGCTTCTATGTGTGTGTCTGTGTGCACAAATATGCACTATGTTATACTCATGTGTGTGCAGTACATGTGTGAATGCATCTGTGTGTGCTACTTATGAATGAACGCACTGTTTACACGCAAACATGCATGCTCACAGTTGACATGTGTGTACCTGCCCATGTGTTCGTAAGTGCCTGTGTTCACACAAGTCCCTGCTGCCGAGCCCTTTCTGGAGTGACACGACACCCTTACTAGCTGTTGTGCTTCCTGTCTGCCCATGAGAGACGCCAGGCCTGATGTTTCCTGGCCCATTGCCACCTGCCCAGGTCCTGGGTCAGGGCTGTGGCCCACACAACTGGTTGGGAGGGCAGTGCCTTGTATAGAGAGGACCTCCAAAGGGAGCAACAGCACCTGCTGGCGGTCTGAGGTCCGTCCCAAGGTCACGAGGAAACCTGCCAGCCTGGGCCGTGAGCACACAGCCCTGCAGGCTTGTATAAGACCTGTTCCTTGTGCCTCGTGGACAGGTGTGGCCTGGCCCGTTGCAGCTCTGGCTGCCTGTGACACCAGGGCCCCACGTTCCCACCTCCTGCTCCTCTGCGGAGGGACTGGGGTGCTCGGGCCTCCATATCTGAGTCTGGGGTGCCAACCCTTTCCGTGTCTGAAGGCAGCCAACATGGGCAGGCAGAGACACAGGCTCTGTGTCTCAGCGGTCTTGGGCTACATGCCTGCCCTGACCCAGCAGCCACCCCAGGGTCCCACAGGGGAAAACAGGCAGCTGTCCTGAGTCCAGACCCTCCATGGTCCTCCTCAGAGCAAGGGGCCCTGGTGGAGACATAGGCTAGGTCAAGCTGGACATGGAAGAGAAGCGGATGACAGATCCTGCTGCTAAGGCCCAAGGAAGCTCCTGCAGGCTGGCCAGCCCATGCCCAGGAAGTCTCCTGACGGGTCCCTCCCAGCCCTAGAAAGCCCCATCAGGCCACCCAGCTCATGCCCAGGAAGTCTCCTGAGGGTCCCAGAAAGCTCCATCAGCCTGCCGGGCCACAGCCCAGGAAGGCTCCTGACGGGTCCTGTCATGGCCTGAGGAGGCCCCAACAGACCAACTAGCAAAGTCAAGCTCACACTGCCCCACGCATGTCTCAGGCATGCTCATGGTCACGCACTAGGAGCATCTCTGCAGAGGCAGCAAATGTAAGCACAGAAGACGCGCATGAAGGAGACCCAACTCTAGAGAGGAGCAAGGATATGCTGAGCGCGCAAGACCCACAGTGAAGCTGCCACACAAGGCAATAACCCCGAGGCTGGGCCTAGCCCCTGCTGCTGGACATGTGAAAGCACCAGCGCTCTGGGGCTAAGTGGCTCTGTGAGCCCTGCCAGTTCCCCGACCAATGTCGGCCTGTCAAGCACAATCACTCCCATGTCCCCTGGCCAGCAACCCAATCCCTGACTCCTCGTTTGTGGGGTGAGTGCTCTGCCTCTAGCGCGGCTCCCGACCAGCCTGGAGGTTCGCAACCCACCCACGAGAGCCCAGGAGGGGAAGCCCCTCAACCCGTGACACAGTCATCAGGATGGAGCACACATCCCTGGGCGGCCCGGGACAGGTCTCTGCTGGAAACTGGAAAGCAGAGTCCAACTGTGTCCCCATGGCCAAGGGGGAGAAGGGACTGGGTTCATGAGCGACATGGCGTCCAGCTTCCCAGGGGACTGACAACCCAAGGTGGAAATGCTTCCTGACAAAGACTTGGACAAGAAGGTGGGTCGAGTGGACGCCACAAAGTTGTCCCACAAGCACACGGGATATTCCAGAAACACTGCCAGGCTTGAGCACAGCCCAGAGCACAGGTGTCACCAGGCTGTGGGAGCCCTGCTATGCCTTCTTGGATGCGGGCAAGCGACACACCACACCCGCCTCACTCTTCTCTATGCCGCAGAGCCCAGGAGGCACCTGGCCTCACTACCCACCCACTGCTTGGACACTGTGCTAGCCCCGTGGCCCCTGCTACAGCTTCCCTACAGGTCCCAGGGTCAGCATGGCAATGTGGGGACTTCTGGACCATGTGCACTCCACAGCTGCCAGGGACCCAGGGCAGGCCCTGCCCACGAAGTGACGAAATGCAGGGCCCACAGAGGCAGCATCACTGCAAGTGCGAGCCCACCGGCATCCCTTAAAGCCAAGAGTGCCCGGGTGAAGAGCCTGTGGACAGCAGCCGGTGACCCCTGGCGACACTCACCTGTAGGCCTGCAGCAGGAGGGCCTTGTAGACATTGACACACACCGTCCGTGGACTGTTCACCTGTACCCAGAGACAGCAACAGTCGCTGGCAACTCACACATCTGCTCCATCGTCCAGGCAAGTGGCACAGGAGGGGATGTCTCAAAAAGCATCCCTCCCCCACAGACACCTGCCAGGCCAGGAGGGGAGGCCCTGGCCAGTGGGACCACACCCCAAGGAGCTGCAACTCTGAGCCCAAGCCCACCCACCCATCCAGGACCCCCCCTGCAGGGAAGGTGGGTAGGAACCAGGCAGGTGACCATCAGTGACACGTGTGTGCATGCATGCCACACATACCCACATGCACACACGCCTTCTCACTTGGGCATCCATGAGCACATGTGAATGCTTTTAGGTGTGTGTCTACATGTGCATGTCTCCACACATGTGCACCTTTACACATATTCACACTCATGTACTTGCACACGTAGGCACACACCAACATGCATCGCATGTGCATGCTCAAAGCATGCACCTACACCCTGAACTTGCAGACTTGCATCCGTGTATGTGTGTGCATGCAGGATCACGTGGGCCACCAAATGTGGACGTGGCTACCCCACCTGGTCACTCACCTGCAGGTCCAGGAAGAGTGCATGGCACTTCAGCCGCAGCACGGACAGTAACTTGCGGCGCAGTTTCCTCCCGGCCCTGGCGCCACAGGGGAAGGCAAGGCTGGCCCGGATGGAGGTCCCTGCGTAGCTGAGGCATGGGGGTGTCAGCACAGGCACCCAGACCACACCCAGCCTCCACCTGAGGCATGCCACAGTGCAAAGGGCCGGGCACCCACTCACAGACAAACTCACCCACACACACCTGACCACGGCACACCCTCACGGCACAGGCCAGCAATGCACTGCCCTACCCTGCCAGGCCCTGGGTGAGGCTGATTTCACCCACGTCCTGATGTCTGAGCATGCTCGGTCACCATCCGTGGACCAGGAACAGGCATGGCACCACAAGCTGCAGAACCACCGCCCTGAGCCGCCTGCGTAGACATAGGTCTGCCCCAGCACCCCCCAGACACGCTGAGAGTCAGGCTCAGAGGACTGCCACACTCGGATCTTGGGGTGACAGTGGAGAGTGCTGGCCAAATGGGCCTGTGCACACACAGACAGCCCCATGGCCTCCAGAGGGGGAGAAGGATGTCACTGCCGTGTAGCAGGGAGCACGGGAGATGCAAGGTGAGGGGTGGCTCGTGCACAATAGTATCTGGCACGAACATGGGCCACCCACAGTCCGCTCCCTGTGATGTGCTCCTTTATGCTAGCTTTGAACACGCATATGTTGAAGTACACTTTCCCCACTACTGTACACTCTATGAACGCACGACTCTGATGGCAGCATGAGGCTGCTTTTGTGAAATGTAATCCCTGCCAGGCCCTGTGTCCAGGCAGAGCTACCATTTGCTAGGTGTGGCACCCATGTCATGCAAAGAATCAAGTCCCCATTAACATCTCGGTCCCTTCTCCCAGACCAAGTACCAGAAGTGCAATCCCTGGGTCGGGGTTAGACCCGTCTCTAAAACAAACAAGTTGGCGAAAGCACAGCGGTCTGCATCCCCTCATGTCTGGGCCATGGCTGAGGTGGGGCCGTGAGTGCTCGGGCTCAGTGGAAAGGGGACCACCAAGACCTCACAGACACCCCATACCACAGGCCTGGCTCCCGCTGTTCACATGTGATCATGACCTTGTGACGTCCGAGGAGTGCACGTCTTCAGGGTCAGGAGACACGAGTCAAATGGGCCTGGAATCTCTGGTCGGACCCAGGCAGCTCGGAAAACACCTGGGCTGCTGTGTCTGCTGAACTGTCCTTTTGCCAGGGACAGCAGACAGCTCCCTGGTGAGTCTGTGCACTCCCACAGAAAGACGCAGCTCTGTGGCCCCTGGACGGGGTCAGCCCATGGCATCAGGCTCAGAGCGGGCCATCACAGCTCCCCCCCGCAGCCAGGCACACCCACCTAGAGTAGTCGCTGAACACCTCCAGGGAGTGGGTGTCCAGCAGCAGGCCACACCAGGGGAACAGACAATGCTCCGGGAGCTGGATGCAAGCTGTGCCGCCCAGGGTGTCGTCATCCACTGGGAAGTTCACCACTGTCTTCTGCAAGTTCACCACGCAGCCGTACTCAGGGACCCCTCGGACCAGCGTCCTAAAGCGGGGTGGGGTCAACCACACGATGAGGGGATGATGCACTTGGTCAGTGCACTATAAAACCTCAGCAAGGCAGCCCCAGGCAGGAGAGTGCCAGGTCGGGGCCAGAACCCAGGAGGGCCATCCATAGCTTGGCCTGGTCCCCTGAGTAAGAGGGGAGCAAACAGCCTCAGGGTCTGACCTTGACCTGGGATGGCTAGGATGCAGCCGGGAGGTGGAGCCCAGTGACCCTCTGTGTGGGTCAGTGTCACATGTCCATGTGGCAAGTACACAGTCCCCAAAGCTAGTCTGTGGCTTGGAGAGACTAAAACCTGGACAAGGAATCACCACCACCTGGTAAATCCAAATGCTCCCGCCTCTCCCAAATCCCCCACTGACCAAAGTGTCTCCTCAGGGTTGGCCATGGGTGAGCCAATCCTGTGCCCTCTGGCTCTCTGCGCCGTCAGGGACACAAGTGGCTTCCCAGGAAGAGGTGGTGGGCTCAGCCATGGCGCCCCCACACACACAGCCCTTGGGGTTTCGGCCAGGACACACAGGAGCTGTCCCCACTGTCACCCTTGAGGCTGACTTCCAAACGGCAGCAGCAAGCAGGGTCCCCCTTGCCTGCTCCAGCACATATGGAACTTGGGGTCTCTGTACGACTGGGCCCCACCCGGCCAGCTGGACGGCTGGGTTGCTCCATGGGCCAGCACCCACAGGAAGGGGCTCAGAGGCAGGACTGCGGCGGGAAGAACGTGGGCTCTGGGCACAGACGGCCGCTTGCTAACTACAGCAAGTGTGCATGCCCAGAGACATGCGAGGACCCTCACCTGAGGAAGGCCTTTGCCTGTGTGAGGTGCGGCGTGACCAGCAGAAAGTCGTCCACCAGGCGCAGAAGCACCCTGCACACAGGGAGATGCTGAGAAGGTGTTATGTGCTCACACGATACCTGTCTATGCGGGACTGAATGTGGGGAGATTTGGACATCTGCATTTACACGGGCAGGAAGGAAGGAACATTCTCTCACATAAAGGTCCTTCTCCCACATTTAATCGCTGAAGTGCATCATTATTGGAGACAGGTGACATCAAGCCAGCATGGGCTCATGAGACCCTGGGCTGGACAGCAAAGGCCACGGGGTGGCGCCCACTGTCTGGGAAATAACTGGGAAGAGCGCATTACTCTGGCCTCACCCCTCTGGGCCGTGTGGTGTCCGCAACCAGGCAACAGCTGTGGTTCGGCTCCATCAGGACACAGAACCCTGTCCCTGGGAAAGTGGGCACTGTGCATGGTGTACAAGCTCAGAGGACCCTCAGACCCAGCCAGGGACGCCACTGCCCACTTGAGCAGCCCATCCCGGAAGGCTAGCCCAGATGCCATCGGCTCTAGGAGATGCCCTGCCGAGTCCCACAGCGCCCATGGGGCAAAGGTCACCTTTGTTCCTCTTGCACAGATGTAGCTCAACTTGGAACCTGAACCTTAATTAAGGGCTCCGTGATCAGCTCTGTGTGCTTCTTAGGACCAGATGTCACAGGACGCCCAGGAAGCAAAGTCAGGGACGCGGATGGGTGCAGGGGGGTGGTTAAGGGGGAGGGCAGGCAGACATGGCGGGTGGGCCACGGTATGTGCTGCCCAGCCTTCTCCATTTGCCAGTCCCTCTCAGTGACGCTATCTTACGGTGACCGTGAGCGGCGGTCGACAGAGGCCCACTGAGAGCAGAACCTCATCATGTGGATGCCGTACTTAGGGTGACCCGGTGTCTCAGGCCAGGCCCCGTTCCGAAGGGACAAGCAAGGGCACAGGAAGAGGGCCTGGCCAGGCCCCACAAGGCCCTCAGAGCCATGGGGCCTTGACACACGTGAAGGAACGTGGCTGTATCCCCGTCCCTGTGGGAAGCCACCAGGAGGTGTCGTGCAGCCTTGGTGGGACTGCGTGTGCTTCCGGCCGAGGGCCAGCAGTCAGCGTGGACCCCGTGGGCAGCCATGCCAGAGGGCCAGTGGGAGCCTGGCACAGAAGAGAAGGCCGCCCTGTGAGTTAAGTGCCTGAGTTAAGCCCGAGGACGCACAGAGCCCAGACGCACCGAGGGGTGCAGACAAGTCCACACGGCACAGGCAAACCCTGTGGGCACACACTCACCCGTCCCCGGGCCGCGAGTTGTGGCAGCCTTACCCGTCCTGCTGGATCCCAGGAAACAGCCTGTTCTCCATGTCCCCATAGCACAGGCTGCACAGCAGCGTGGACAGCACAGAGCCCTGGGGGATCCCCTGGCACTGGATGTAGGACCTAGGGGCAGGGTTAGGGTCAGAAGGGCATCCGTGTAGCCCACACACACACGCGAACATGGCAGATGCCCAAGGCATACCCCAAGTCACAGGACGTCCCACCCACCAGCCCCTGTCCTCCCTGGCACCGTGGCCTGGGATACTTCAAGGGGGATAAAGCTATGGGGTGCCCACGACCTTGGTCTCTGGGTCCCCAAGGCTTTCATTCAGTTTTTAACATTCTAAGCATGACGTTTACTCAAACCACCACACGCTTGACTGGAAAGGACAGTCTCTCTGCCACTCGCCTTGTTTTGAGTAACCCATCACATGGCAGCCAGATGCCCACGCGCACTGGCTCTGTGCGAGGGCGTGGCCCTTCCTTGGCCTCACGACGACTGGCGGAACCCACAGACAGGCCCAGCCATCAAGGACACCCAGTCTGTGTGGGCAGGAGGGGGACCCAGGCGGCCCCAGGGAGAAGAGGGTCGGAGGAGGGAGGACGGAAGGGCAGAGGGCAGACGTTCTGCCTCTCACCGTCCATCCCACCTGCCGCCCTCTTGTGGCCCAGCACTGTGGGACTCACCTGCCCTCAAACGCCCAACGGCCTAGCGCTGTCTGACACAGCCGCCCCCAGACCCCCCCGGTACCACCCCCC